CTGTTTTATTGTATGTATTTTTATTGGTCAATGACCGAAATAAATATGATGATGATGATGTGGTTATTAAGAGTTTTAATGATCATTGGCCCAAGTCAGTTACACGTCTCTTTCTTTTCTTTTCATCTTTGCCAAAGAATGCATGTAGACAGAAGGCTGTCGTTCAAAAGGTGCCCTGTATAATACATAGCTATTCAACATTTTCCTCATTAATGGATTTTGTACTTGTGGTTTAAAAAATGTAAAGAGTGTGTTACGAATGGAAAATGATGTGATTGAAACCACTACAGGCAGGCCTGCAAAAGTCTATGAACAAAGCAAGGAAAGAGCATAATAGAAACCTAATCTGGAAATACCCAAGGTCACACTCTCGTGTGTACAATACAATGAAATCAAGAGCATAAATTATATCTTAAACTTTTAGTAAAAGTAAGAAAAATAGGGGCGGCTCCAAGAAAGGCAAGCAATGAACTGCAGTATCATTAAAAGAGAAATATGCTTGTCTCTGCACACATTCACTATAAAAAGGATGTGTGGGTATCCAGGGTCTAAGTGGCATGATGAGAGCTGCAAAAGGACTACTTCTATGGTGCTAGTTATTTAGGGTGGGGGGGAGGGGCTTTACTAAGGGGTGTAATAAGTGACCCCTTGGCTTTTATCATTCTCCCCAAACTCTAATGTCATTGAAAACAGTGCCAATATTTTTGGACTTACCCACTTTGGGAAGTTCCAGGGGCTGTAAAAATGGTGCCCATAGACTTTTTTTTTTTTAATCTGCACTCAGTCGTTGCAGACTCTGCAGTGACTGCTTTTTGGACGAGACCTTGCAGTTTTCAAGGCAAGGTGCTTCGGAAGTGGTTTGCCAGTGCCTCTTTCCTACAGCAGAGCCCAGCTGGCGAGTGCAGGAGGCGGGGTTTCCGTTGCTTCGTGCCTTTTTCGGGCGAGCGCAGCTTCCGCGCTACTGGCACCTGCTCCCGACTCCTTTTGCAAGGTGCCGCCAGCATTTTTCCTCCCACCGGAG